ACTGGTGTTGTTCACTTAGTTAGGGAAGGCAAGAGAGGTAAAGATAAAATATTTGGTTCGAGACTTGTAAAGCTGAGTAGTGTATGGGAGCCCACTCATCTACAAGATGAGACAGATAATAGGGCTGTCAAAGCAGGAGTGAAGATGAGATTTAGGAGTAGTAGGAGATAGCAGTGTTAAGTGGTAATTGAACCCTTGTGATGTTGTGATGGATGACCCAGTGAGATCATGGAAAGATGGAAGGAGAGGACAGAAGACAGTTTTGAAAATCAAGCCTTCAGAATGAACTTAAAAAAAAGAGCAGCCAGAGATGTATGAGAAAACTCGGAAAGTGTGCTGTCACTTAAGTCAAGGGTTTCTAGTCTTTCAATAAGTGCTAAATACCACTGCTAACTCAAACAAGCCAAAAATTGAAAAGTGTCCATTGAATTTAGTAACAAAACAGCCACTGGTAACCTTGTTAAGAGCAATTTACTGGGAAGCTCTGGGTTCAGGAGCCAAATTGCAATGTCCAAAGACCAGAATGGGTGGAAGCCACAAGTATAGAAAACACTATTCAAAATACTGCAAGAGTTTTTGAACTGCAGCAGGAGTCCTGAGTTGACCAAGGGTTTTTGCTTAAAATGGCAGACATGAGCAGCTTTACAAGCTGACAGATATCACAACAATAAGGAGTCAACCCCACTTTAAAATGGGCAAAAGACAGGAATACACATTTATGTCCAGGAGATATACAAATAGTCAATAAGCATCCAAAAAGATGCTCTAGGGAAATGCAAATCAAAACCATTATATATTGTTTCACACCCACTAAAATACCATAGTCAACAAGACAGGTGATTAACAGAATGTAAAGAAAGTGGATTTCTCATACATTGCAAGTAGGAATAAATAATGTTGCAGAAATATTAGAAAACATTCTATTCATTCCTCAAAAAATCAAATATACAGCAACCAAATGACCCAGTAATTCCACTCATAGTTCTATAATCAAGGAAGTGAAAACATGTTCACACAAAAACTTGTCACAAATGTCATAACAATTTGTTTATAGTAACAAAAGTAGAAGCAACCCAATTGTCTATCATTTTATTATCATTGAAAATAAACAAAATATGGTGTTAGTTTGGGCTGGCAAAATCCCATAGATGAGACAGTTTAAACAACAGACATTTATTTCTCAGAGTTTCAGGGACTGGGAAGTCCAAGGTCAAGATCCCAGCAAATGTGGTGTCTGTGGAGGGCTCTCTTCCTGGCTTGTAAACAGCCACCTTCATGTCATAGCCTCACATGAGGAAGAGAGGAAGTTCTAGTATCTCTTTCCTTAGAAGGAAGCTAATCCCAGTAAGAGGGTTCTACACTTATGAGTTCATCTTCCCTAATAATCTCCAAAAAGCCACCTCCAAATACCACCACTTTGAGAGGGCTTCAACATTGAGGCAATACAAACCTTGATTCTATGGGATGCCTATATCCAGACAATGGAATATCATCATAAAGAATGGAGCTCTGATAGAGGCTGCTACATGAGGAGCCTTGAAGACATCTTTTTACATGGAAGAAGCCAGAGACAATTGATCATATATGATCCTATTTATATGAAATGTCCACTAGACAAATCCATAGAGATAGCAGATTAGTGGTTGCTGGGGGCTGGGAGTGAAGGGGGTTGGGGATAGACTGTTAAGAGGTACAAGGGTTCTGGCCCTCCCTGGTGGCACAGCAGGTTAAAGCACTGCACTAAGAAGCTTAAGCCACTTCAGCATGAGTTCGATCCCCGCCTGCCCCGGAAGTGACCACATGGCGAGGCAGACCTCTCCTGACCCGCCCACTGCTCTCCTCAGCAGTGTACTTTGTTGATTTGCCTGGTCTGCTCTCCCCTCTGTCTCTGGTGAATCCTCTCCCCCTCCACATGTCTGGCCTGTACCCCAGTTCTGTACGAATGAATAAATAAATCTTTTTTTTTAAAAAAAAAAGAGGTACAAGGGTTCTTTTAGGGGGTGATGACATTGTTCTAGAATTGTGGTAGTCATGGTACAACCTTCAGATTAGCCTAAACACCATTTAATTACATACTTCCAAAGGGTAAATTTTATAGTATGTAAATTACATACAGTTTTATAAGTGTTTAAATGAGGATGGGGAGTACTGGAAAGATTTGGGAGTGGGGGGGATAGGAACTGAAGTGAGCCTATAAAGTACTTGGGATGAGGGGCAGAGGGTGAGTGAGGCTCCACTATTCGTAGGGATTAGCTGGCCAGGCAGAGGATGATCTCTCCAGTTGGGGTAAGAGGAGCAGAGGTAAGATTGATCCTCTATGTTGATGTTTTGTGAAATGAAGGCCAGGATGAGGTTAGAAATTGAACTGGGAAAGGAAAGCCAAAATGTTCAGTAAGCTAAGAATGCCCAGGAGATGAAATCAGCTTTGAGTTGAGACAAAGAATGAACAGGGTCGTGGCAGGTATTTATACACCTGGTTGGAAAGGCAGTGTCTGAAAGCCGGAGAAGAGGGCTAGACCCCATTTTGCTTTAGGGATTGACAGGAGAAGGCCCAGACTCTGCCAGGCCTGGATGCTGGCAGCTGAAGGCAGGGAGACAGGGGATGGGCACCAGACGGTGCTGGACTAAGGATGAAAGGAATTCCGAAGGGACAGAGCAAAGGTATGAATACCAAATTTAGTAATTAATAAATTTGACAGTAATGGTATATTTTGGAGATATTTAATTAAATATGCATTAATACTTATTTTGGGACCCTAGATTAACTTTTTTTTTATTTTCATCAGCATGCCCTGGGTCTCTAAAACCTTTATTTAGAAAAGCCTAGCCTTGTGGGCCAAGTCTGTGAGAAAATAAACAGAGCGTCATAAATCACCCGTTAGCCTCTTCTTGATGAGTCAGAGTCATCACACAGAGCTATTTGCATCTGGACTGAGGGACCCTTCTGCATCTACTTTTTGTCCTTTGTCCATTATGCTGCCAGAACTCCCTGCTCACTGGTGTCACTTTGCCTGGAGTAAACTTCCTCTCACAGTTGGCAACT